ACAATGAAAAAGAAGTTTTTAATATTTCTGCGAAACTGGCTAAGGGACTACAAGTTTTATACATAATAGGCAGCAGCGCTTTAAACCGCTATCTCCAACCCGTCTTCTAGGATCCCTCTTATGCAGAGGAGGCCCATAAATTCCAGCAGTAGGCTGTCATCATCACTCAACAAGGTTAGATAGTAGTGGCAATTCATCGGCCCATCAAACATTAAGAAAAAAAGACTGTCATGAACTGTTGACGATGATAACCCAGACCCAAAACAGTCCAACATGGTGAATCAATCGTTTGAATACTGATTTACATAGTAACATAGATACTTATTTAAATATACATATCTGTATAGTGTTACCTGCCGAAACCAGTTCCCGACATTTTTTGTTTTAACTTTTAACCGAATTCTGATGTAACTATAAACCGGTTTATCCAACTTTAAAACCGTCTAGTTTTTATAATGACTGGTGACCTACTTTTTTATCTAAATGTGTTTGGTTTCGATGCTCAAAAATAACTAATCTTTTAGAATTTGAACTGGACATCTATTTGGTGTAAGAAGTCGTTGTAGATTCAATGTCTAAATCGTGCTAAGTTTTATTTATGGGATAGGAGTATAGGACGGCAAACAAGCAAAAGAATCACCTGATGGAAAGCAATCGGCACAGCCCATGGACACCCACAACACTAGAAGAGTTACAAGTCCAATACTGGCCTTTTGGGGATCGAGAACTTGAGATGGGAGGTCGGATCGGGCCTCTGGTAACCTCACTCACACAACGCTTCGTTTATATCACTCGGAATCTCGCCGATGTAGGTACTGTGAGGCTGTGGTATCACTCAAGCTTAAGTTACAGGTCTTCTGTGTGAGACACTATTTTAGCCCTCTTAAGCACCAATGGTTGAACGCCTAGGCGGTTCGTATCCACAGACGCAGTTCCATATTAAATTGGAAAAAGCAGTCAACCGCAGGAAGCGGCTAGCCGCGTGGTTGACCGCTTGTGCGTACGGGGACTTAGAGTTTTTTATGCATAAGTTCTTGATGCAAAACAAGATCGCCTCCTATATAAAAATATACATTTTGGTTCCAGGTGTGGGTAAGACCAGCCTAGTGGTCCGATACATAGGCAAGATGTTCTCCAAGCACATATCGCCCACCATCGGAGCCTCATTCTTCACGTGCAACATTAACCTGGAGAATGCCAGGGTTAAATTACAGGTAATTTCTTAACTAGTATCTTTATTTTTAACCCTATTGGTTTACGGACCAGTCTTCAATTTAATTCTTGGATCAAGCAAAACGTTTTTACCTTCAGAGGTTCTCAGCTGTATCGTTATCTTTTTTTTTGATGGGGAAAATCATCCGATGTTTTTTCCCGCCTGGGTGAGGCGCGAGAGAGTGTCAGACTCTTACTGACTAAAAGGCACGCTGTTTTTTCTCCTTCTTTGAGCCGAAGCCCCGGTAACCCGTTAGTTTGTCTGCAGCTCCAGTTACCAACTACATGACATTGGCAATAGGATCACCCTTTATTACATAGGACTCGTAGCATAACTGATGAAATGGTGTTATAAAGGGATATGACAGAAATAGTTTGAGTCTGATAGAGGAGATTGAATGAAGATCTATGCCCAGAGTAGCTTAGGGTACCGAAAAGAAGATCACGAATCATAATATAATTTGTATTATAACTTTCGTGAGATATACTAAATATATTATTATGTTTTCGGCTTACTCACGTAGTAATTTGACGAGGAACTCGACTAGTTTCAAGCCATACTAGAGGCTCATATTCATGAGCAGCTATTCGCGACCCGCGACGCGGCGATAGCCGCGCTGCTACTGAGTCGCCGCGAAAACATCATAATATAACTGGTAAAAATTGGTTTATACTAAGAGCCAGCCACTTGAAAGTCTTTGGGTTTCCCTCATAGATATTGTCCATCAATGTATTTAATCGTATTTTTTTTAATCTTAAAGAGTACGTATGTACCCAACCTCATATTTCGTCGTTCCTTATTCTTATCAGACAGAGGTCGTCAAAACATTCTTTATAATATTGTATGCGTCAAAAAGATTACCTATATTATAAAAAATGTGTGACGTCATAGCAATTCATATCAAATACTTTCATTGATAACTTCCGTTTTATTACAAATAACTACTAAAAAGTTCAATAATACTTTACCGTAATATTTCGGAGGCCCAACGATCTCCTCAAAAGCCCATATCAGGAATTTCTGATGAGCAATAACTCAACGGGTGACTGCACGGTTGGAGCGGTGGCTGGGCAACCGGCTGCCGTGCAACGTATCGCGGGTTCAATTCCCGCACGGAACAACACTTTGTGTGATCCACAAATTGTTGTTCCGGGTCTGGGTGAACTTGTATGTTTGTAAACGCATCCACGACACAGGAGATAATCCTAATTTAGGGCAAAGTTTTTTTTAAAAAAAAGCCATCAGAACTATACAGATGGTTGGGGCGGTGGATGACCTTGATGGTTACCGAGCCTCAGACTCGAAGCAGAAGTAGGGGCGAACTCGTTTTTATTCAGGAAGAGTCTCACCCCTAAGATGGGAAAACTAATTTGAAGATTTTCCCCTAAAAACAGGCCTTGTCCATCGCTTCCATACCTTCTGGTCAGGTTTTCATTTGCCCCTATCTTATAACAAAAAACATTTCCTTTTTTGTTGACGGGGGAACTATCAAAAGGCGCCTAGGTTTTTGGGGAAAAATACTTGCGATTGTGGGATTTTTACCTCCTCTTATTATTGTCTCCTCGACGCCTTCGTCGGGATTGGTCCTCTCACGATCCCTCTGACGACTCCTTCTGGGACATTACAGTCTCACAAAAGGAGTCAAAAGTCGAAGTCAAAGTAAAAATCATTTATTTCAATTAGACCAGAAAGACACTTTTGAACTTCAGCAATAGTGAAGCTATTTGCTCACTCCAAGGTGTAGATTCCAATGGAGAAGAACGAGTAAGAAACTCCATAGGTTACTCTTTTCCAATCAGGTTCACAATACAATTCTCCAGTTACACAGTTTTATTGGTTTGATTGTGCGAGAACAATGTAACACCAAAATCCAGTCAAAGAGGTCGAAAAGAAAGAGAAGAAGGCCACTTCCCGCCATTTTTCTGTCCAGGTTTCCAGAGTACCAAGCACGAATAACTATCGCAATCGTAACGTAATAGTATCGAGTGCGTTCGGCGCTCTGATTGGCCGGCTCCAGTATACCAACTTCTTTACGATGTTTTTCCTTCACTTTTTGTCAGTGGTGTCTGAATAATCTTTAGTAGATTTTTTTTTTTAAGGGGGGAAAATCATCGAATGACTGCTCCCGCCTGGGTGAGGTGGGAGGGAATGTCAGACTCTTACTGAATCTCCAGGAAAGGTGATATCATCCTGAAGGTTGACATAAAGAATGCCTTTAATTCGGTCAATAGGGATACTATGTTGACAGAAGTTAAAAAAGAAGTACCCCAAATTTTCAGTTTTCTCTGGCAATGTTATAGACATCCTACCAAATTATTATATCAGGACAACCTTTTGGAATCAGCCGTTGGCTGTCAACAAGGCGATCCCCTTGGACCAGTGATTTTTAGTCTGGCTATTAATCCTATTATTCGACAGCTAAATTCCAAATTTAATGTTTGGTACCTCGATGACGGTACTCTGGGAGGCGATGCGGATACAGTATTAAATGATTTCATATTTTTAAAAAATGAATTTCATGCTATTGGCCTTGACCTAAATTTTTCCAAGTGTGAGATATTTTTAGATGACTCTACCGACAGACAGATCTTATCAAAATTTAATACTTTTGCACCTAATATCTCGGTGGTTGATAAATGTTCACTTCGCCTCCTAGGTGCGCCCGTCTTCGAGGACTCTTTTCCAAGTTTTATTGAAGAAAAAATTCAAAATTTTTCTGTCGTTTCAGAAAAACTATATCACATTAGAATGCATTCGGCTTATACTATTATTCGGTTTTGCTGCTTCGGTCCCAAATTTATGTATTTTTTGCGCTCGACCCACCTCTGGTCTGCACCCCTTCTTTTAGAAAAAATTGACCAAATCATTAGGCGAACCCTGTCCTTAATTTTGAATGTGGCTCTTGATGACCGAGCTTGGACTCAAGCCACTCTGCCTGTCCGCATGGGTGGGCTTGGCGTCCGTAAAATTTCCAGTGTAAGCCTACCGGCTTTCATATCTTCCGCCCTTGGTACTGAAGAATTAACCAGGAAAATTCTTTCTCAATCACTGGTTAATTTTGATGTACCATGTTTAGTGGAAGCTGTGAATGCTTGGAAAATCGCTTGCCCAAATATTGACCCCCCCGTCAAATCACATTCCCAGAGACAATGGGACGAGCCGCTCTGCAGAAAAGTGAGCGAAAATCTCTTGAACTCCTCTTGTTCAACTGCAGAGAGAGCTCGCCTTTTGGCTGTGGGTGAGTGGGAGTCGGGGTTATGGCTTCTTGCTTTACCTTCGTCTAACCTAGGTACTTTGTTGGACGACACCACGTTCCGCGCTGCAATTTGTTTAAGGCTTGGAGCTTCATTTTGTTCACCTCATCGTTGTCGTTGTGGTGAAGATGTCAACAGCCTTGGACACCACGGCTTGTCATGTAGCCGTAGTGCGGGCCGTTTTGCTCGACACGCAAGTATTAATGACATAATTCGTCGAGCTCTTGCCTCCGTTGGCGTGCCAGCTACTTTAGAACCTAATGGCTTGGTACGCGACGATGGCAAGAGACCCGACGGTATGTCATTATTCCCTTGGAAGATGGGTAGGGCTTTAGTATGGGACGCCACTTGCGTTGATACTCTGGCGCCATCCCATCTTCCAAGCTCAGCGTGTCGAGCCGGTGCTGCCGCTGCTGCTGCCGAGAACCTCAAACGGCGAAAGTATAATAGCCTGATTGGCAATTATGCTTTCGAACCGTTTGGGGTTGAAACTTTAGGGCCGTGGGGCCCAAGTGCACATCTTCTTTACAAAGATATTGTAAGGAGGATGGTTGACACTTCAGGTGATCGAAGGGCTGGCTACTACCTTGGGCAAAGGTTAAGCATTGCCATTCAACGTGGCAATGCTGCCAGTCTTTTGGGCACCCTACCTCACGGTAGCGATGAGGAAAATGTTTTCTTTGATGCCTTATGATTTATTTTTATTATTATTATTTTATTAAGGTGTAAATATTTTAGTTTTAAATTTTTTTATATATATATTTTAAGTTGTATATATTAATTTTTATCTTGTATTGTATATATTTAATTGTGTAATAGTGATTGTAATCCACAAAAATTGTTAAATATGTTTCACTGTCAACCTCTTTTTTTATATATTCGACAAATCACTTTAAAAAACATCTTTAATATTATAACATACATACACAACTTCACGCCTGTCTCCAGTGGTAGGCAGAGACTATGGAACGCCAATTGCTACGATTCCTACATACCTCTTTCGCTTCATCAACAGTCATCAATCTTTTCATGCATGCTCGTCGGTTAAGGGTACTTTTAATTTGGCCCTTCTTTAATATATCGCGAATCTGGTCAGTATATGTCCGTCTAGGGCGCCCTCTACCGACGGCCACATTTATATCCATCCGTCTGCTCTGTATATTTCTTTCGTTACTGTACTTTCATCCATCCTTTCTACATGTCCAAACCAGCGTAACATTCCCTTTTCAATCCTTGTCACCATCATCTTTCAATCCACAACTTTCTCTAATAACACTGTTTTTTACTCGATTACACAATTTTAGTCCACACATACTCCTCATTTCCACCGCATTAATCCTGCTTTCATGCTTCTTTTGCCCCACCCATGATTCGCTATCATACATAACCAGTAGTCTTTAATTATACCCATTATAATTCCAGGTATGGGACACAGCGGGCCAAGAAAGGTTCAGATCCATGGCGCCCATGTACTATAGGAATGCTAACGCAGCACTGCTAGTTTTTGATATAACGAGTGTTAATAGTTTTGCAGCTATCAAAGGATGGGTTAAAGAGTTACAGAGGTAAGATCCTTTTATACTAGTTTTAAGATTCTTTAGAAAATTGGTTGCGTATATAAAGCCTAAGGCTAAGGATTCACGGCGCGATTTACTCTCGCGCCCGCCGCGGTTGCGGGCAAAAGATATATATGTAAAAAATTATTTCACCGCCCGCGGCTGTTGAGATTGTTTGCGGCTCCCGCAACTCAACGCCCGTCCTTTTTTTTTATAGCATAAGCCGATAAACGAGCAGACGGATCACCTGATGGTAAGCAATCGGCGTCGCCCATGGACACCTGGAACACCAGAGACGTTACAAGTGCGTTAGGCCTTGTCGTTAGGCCCGGCCTTTTGGGATTAGGAATTTGAGGATTATTGGGGATTGGGGAAGGGGGGGGGAAGGGGGGGGGGAATTGGGCATCCGCTAACCTCACTCACGAATTGGGCACCCGCTAACCTCACTCACACAACGAAACACAACACAACGTTGTTTCACGTCGGTCTTTTGTAAGGCCGTGGTATCACTCCGGTCGAGCCGTCTCATTTATGGCCGAAGCATGGCTCTCCCACACTTAATTCCTCTTGCGATAATTAACCGCTAAGTTTGCGGACGTAGTAGGCGTAGTAATCCCAACCGCTCTGCTGCGGGACTGCAGAAACCTGCGGTCTGTAGTTACAAAATGCTGTCTGTAAACCGCGATGTGTAGTCATTTGCGGAGGACTGTGGGGGGGCAGTGGACAGCACGTGGCTATCACTGATTGTACGCATGATCAACAACAGCCTATTAGTGGACACTACTGACCAAAGACCTCTTCTTACACGGAGACACTTTAAGCATTTGAAAGAACCCGAGCGTACGGCGCGTCGCGTTCCGCTCGCGCCTCAAAGAGCCATCAGACCACCACAGATAGGGCCCAATACGGCCGATGCCGATTCGGAGTCGCGGAGAACCTAACGAGTAACCGGGGCTCCGACTCGACGTGCAGGAGAAGGAACGGAGTGGTTTTTAGTCAGTAAGAGTCTGACACTCCCTCCCGCCTCACCCAGGCGGGAGCAGACATTCGATGATTTTCCCCCCTTAAAAAAAAAGCATTTGAAAGAAAGAAAGAAAAACTTTGTTTGACACGCTAAAACAGGTGGCACGTACAGATTTTACACATAAGTGTATAAACATCTACTAATGTCCCAAGTCTGCGGTGAAATGGGACCAGTTCAGCATGTGCAAAACAGGACCTCGCGCTCGTATTCTACTGGCCCCTTTTAATCACAACGCTTGCTCAAGATTGATCCTAAGTTCGTCAAAGATCAAAAGCCCAGGTTTCCGACGATGTTTTCCTTCACCGTTTATCAGTGGTGTCTAAATAGTCTTAAAAAGTACGTATAACTCGGAAAAAGTCACATTGGTACTTGTCGTTGGTAGGTTTCGAGCCCACACTCTCTTGCATGAGAAGCGCGCGTCTTTGACCTTCGACATATTCCAAGATAATGAGGTTCAAATATTTACATTTTCTTCTTTCAGTAATGTTCCTGAAGCTATGGTCTTATCAGTGGTTGGGAATAAGAGTGACCTTGAAGATCTAAGAGCTGTGCAGTCCAGTGAGGCAGCGCAGTTTGCGGCCTCTATAGGCGCGCAGTACTGTGAGACGTCAGCTTTACATGATCAGGTAAATATAGAGAGGAAACTAAATCAAGTTATCTCGCCATATAACTAAGGCTGGGTTGTACCAACTTACTTTACCAATAACTATCGTACCACAAGACAATCGGCGACGCGTCACCGATTCATGGTTCGCACTACGCGTCAAGTTTCCTTATGCGTACTGTTAACGAGTGGAATTCGTTGCCAGAGCCTGTGTTTCCTGAAGGGAATAACTTGGGTGTCTTCAAGGCCCGAGTGAATAGGTTGCTTATGGGACGACGTGCTCCATCGTAGGCCGCATCATCGCTTACCACCATGCGAAGTGGTCAAACGACGGCCCATCAAATAAAAAAGGCTCTAAGCCTCTTACGTGAAGCACTATTTTAAAATCCATTCTATGCTATTTTCCATAACAAAAAATTGGAAAATCGAAAACTCAATTTGTACTGACCCCGGGCTCGGCAATCGAATCCGAAACAACTACAAACCTTTGGAATTCTAGTCTTTAAACCTAAAATCATTTCTTATAACATAAAGAATTTCGTGCACCGAAAATACCAAAAGCTACATTGTTTTTTTTTTATGAGATGAGTCGGTAAACGAGCAGACGGATCACCTGATGGTAAGCAATCGGCGTCGCCCATGGACACCTGGAACATCAGAGGCGTTACAAGTGTGTTACCAGCCTTTTGGAGATTAGGAATTTAAGGATTGTGAGGGATTCAGGGATTTGGGAGGGTAATTGGCCTCCGGTAACCTCACACACACGACGAAACACAACGCAAGCGTTGCTTCACGTCGGTTTTCTGCTCGGCCGTGGTATCACTCCGGTCGAGCCGGTCCATTCATGCCGAAGCATTACTCTTCCACAACTTAACGCAGGAATCGAACCCGCGACCTTGAAGTTAGCAATAACACTTTACAATATTAGATTATTTTCACTTAAACCGTGCCTACTAAAATATTTCCCCTGTAACTTCCACAGCAAGGGATCGACCAGGTGTTCCTGAACACGGCGGCGTCCCTGCTGAAGCTGTCTAACTCCAACCTGGTATCTTCACTGAGATCCTACGACTCCGCTGATGTAGACCCTGATAAAATACCTACAGGTATATTATTTTATTATTTTTAAATCATTTCTTTTTTAAACTGCCTCGTTGGCCGAGTGGTCGCAAGTGCGATGCGACTGCCGGGCAAGGGGTCTCGGGTTCGATTCCCGGGTCGGGCAAAGAAGTACTGGGTTTTTTTTTTTAAATCTCAGTAATCTGGAATTTTGCCCGGTATATGGCAATAGGCTCACCCCCTATTACATGGGACTCGTAACATAAATAGTGAAAAGTTGGTGTTACATTGTACAGTGGTATAATGTGCACCTCTGCCTACCCCTTCGGGATAAAAGGCGTGATGTTATGTTATGTTCTTTTTTAAATCGTTGCCCCACACTAGGTTATTCTCCTGTGTCGTGTGTGCGTTTACAAACATACAAGTTCACATACACATGACACCCAGACCCGGAACAACAATCTGTGGATCACACAAAATATTGTTCCATGCAGGAATCGAACCCGCGACACGTTACGTGGCAGCCAGTTTTGACTGCACGGTTGGTGCGGTGGCTGGGCAACCGGCTGCCATGCAACGTGTCGCGGGTTCGATTCCCGTACGGAACAACTCTTTGTGTGATCCACAAACTGTTGTTCCGAGTCTGGGTGTAATGTGTATGTGAACTTGTATGTTTGTAAACGCACTCACGACACAGGAGGAAATCATAGAGTGGGGCAACGTTAAAACAAAAAAAAATACCCAGGCACCATTGCCATTCCTGCAGTCTAACACAGTGGACCTTTGATGTCTTAAATAAATGATCATTATTATCAATCAGTCGCTGGTAATGAAAGAGTTGCATAAACCACAAAATTAATTCATTTAATTTTGTCGTGAAATCGTATGTACACTGACTTCTAATATACAGGTTTTTTCCTAGTTTAGAAGTCAGGGCCCTTTTGCTCTGGCCACAGTCATGATCCTGGAAATGTAAAAAATGTAATCTCTTTGGTAATAATAAAGATTTTTTTTTTATTTTTATAATTTCGTTTCCAGGCACCCCAACAGAAGAAGACGCGACTCACACAGGCAAGGTGGAGCTCCCAGCGTGGAGTATAGACAGCATCGCACACGGAGACGTTCAGAAAAACATGTGCTGCTGACCGTGTCGTACAGACGGGGTAGGCAGAGGTCATACATACGTCCATAAAGGCGGATTCAATCTAGATACTGGGCTAGGCAAGTACTTCATACGCGTCCCTGATTTTCTTGGCGCCGCAGTGGGCAGTTGTTCACGTCCCTCTGTATCCAGCAGCTGTAGCCAAATGCCACTTAGCGCTTGTCTACATGTATAATAGAAAACCAAATGGGGATGATGACAGGGTATGAAAATTAAAAATATAATTAGTCCGTAAGTTAGGCAATGAAAAAATATTAGACACGTATTTTTTTATTTTGCCGTATAATAAAACAATACTTAGTTAAAACGAAACGAGTTTAGGAGTGGGGGCTAAAACGTCATTTCTTAGTATAAAATGTACATAGAAGTGACGTCATGCGACATTTCAAATCACAAAGAAAGTCGAAAGTATTCGTTTCTGTGAGAAAATAAAAAATACGTGTCTAATGTTTTTAAATAATCTACCAGACGGACATTGAAATAAAAATTAGTCGTCTACCCTGGAATTGACGTAAATTTTGACACTTGTCAGTGTCATCCCCATACATTTAGTTTTCTACTCTCTCTGTAGACGAGCGCTAATTTGTGTCTTATACACTTGTTTAGTTTGCCTTAGGGATAATACGGCTATGTACGTCCCCATCATCAACAGTCCACTGCTGGACTGTGCTCTCCCAGCGTGGAGTATAATAGAGTATAGAAATGTTCAGAAAAAATATTTCCTGTAGACTATATCATACATACGGGAAAGGCAGAGGTCAAAAATATAAAGCACTAAGTCTAGGACTACAGAAATGTTATCTTGATAAATGAAAGTGCCTTTTTAACTGTTATGAAGATTTTTGTAAGTCTAAATTATATACTCCGAAAGGTGTAGACTAAAATTCAGAAAATTTATGCTATGCCATGCTTCTGCACTACTGGGCCGGCTCGGCCGGGGTGATACCTAAAACTATAGTCAAATATCGCAAGCGTTGTCCATGGGCGACGCCGATTGCTTACCATCCGGTGACTCGTTTATTGCAAAAATAAATGTAATAAAGATAAACAAATCAAATATCTTGATTTGGCTCACGAGATTCTCGACATGTGGAATGTAGATTCATTGTGTGTGTCATCATTGTGCCGATACTCGTGTCGGCCAATGGGTTAATCCCTAATAGCCTCGACAACCACCTTAGGAGGCTAGCGTTAGGCAGTTGGGTCAAGGGCCTGATACAGAAGGCAGTTCTCCTTGAAACGGCGCGCATTGTGAGGAGGTTTCTATCTCTGGAGCCCTAACCACCGGTAGCTTGGACCATGCTCCCGCTACTGGTCGGCTCCTATTTTGTATATTTTTAAATATTTTTTTTTTTGTAATTAGTATTTAAAAATGTAATTTATAGAGAATTTTAAATAAATATATGAAATGTAATAATACTTGCCTGACCCGGAGACTGAATTCGAGATCACGCAGCTAAAAGGATCTTACCTGGTATAAAACATTTCGATAATTACAGAAATTGGTTAAAAACTACCAAACTATGAAATAATACTCTTTCTAACTACATTTTTTATGAAATGGCAACTTTAATTGCAAACGCCAATGTCATTTACCCGTCAAACTGAGTTTATATTTTGTAGCTGTCATTTCAATGATGACATAATTGAGACGCGCAGTTCAAATACAAACATTGTTTGTAAAGAAAACAATAAAATAATTAAACAATCTCGTTTAATGTGAAATAATCTAATTACGTAATAGAAATAATGAAATTAGATCAACCATAACATATTTGTATTAATATTTTTTAGTTTTAATATAAACAAAGAAAGAAATTGTAAATTGTACAAATATGTTTTTAAAGGGTGTTAAGTTCACAATACGAAGGATTTATATACCAGTCACGGTGTATAAAAAGCGGCACCATTTTTTGGAATAGTATCTGCATATCTCTTCTTATGAGGTTGGGTAAGTTTCTGATATGTTTGTCGTAATATTCTAGGCTCACCCCCTTGTACATGGGACATAATATAACATCACGCCTATTATCCCCAGAGGGGTAATAAATTATAAATTACAAGCAAAGACCGACAAAGAACTAGACATTATGGTATATTAGCGAATATTAAAATTACAATATAAAAAAGATATAATTTAAAATGTTTACGTAAGCATAGGGGGGGGGGGTAAGATCTTTGCTTACTTTTGCTGACAAGGGGAATGGGGGGGGGGTAAATAATTGTAAAAAAATGTGCTTACGTAATATTTTAACGGCCCGTTATTCAAGAAGAGTCTGACCCTTTAAGATGGAAAACTAATTTGAAGATTTTCCCCTAAAAACAGAACTTGTCCATCTCTTCCTTACCTCCTGGTCAGGTTTCATTTGCCCCTATCTTATAACAAAAAACAATAGGGATTATGACAGGGTATGAAAATTAAAAATCTAGGTAATTAGTCCGTAAGTTAGGTAATGAAAAAATATTAGACACGTATGTTTTTTATTTTGTCGTATAATAAAACAATACTTAGATAAAACGAATCAAAGTTTAGGAGTGGGGGCTAAAACGTCATTTCTACGTATAACATGTACATAGAAGTGACGTCACGCGACATTTCAAATCAATATATCGTCGAAAGTATTAGTTTCTGTAAGAAAATAAAAAATACGTGTCTAATGATTTTAAATAATCTACCAGACGGACATTAAAATAAAAATTAGGCATCTACCGTATTATAAATTAAATAAATAGAACTTAATATTCTTAGTAACATGTTTTTATAAAAACTATCGTGAGACAAACTAAATTAACTTAAATCGCGGGTTACTCACGTGAATATACTGAGACAAGCTCTACTAGTTTCGTACCACAGAGGGGTTCTTCCTCATGAGCAGCGTGCGCGGTCGCGGCGACGTCGCGCAGCTCACTGACAATACACTTACATCACACAATATTATTTAATTTATAATTGTGAAAGTTTATTTGTTTGGATGTTTGTCCGTCAATCACACTGAAACTACTGAACGGATTTTGATGATATACAGGCGGTATGGGCTGACTTAGGTGGTAGGATACTATTTATCCCGATTAATTGCTCCAATGGGGTAAAACAGGAATGTCGTCGGCGCTATTTCCGAACCGATACGACCTTCAAACCTTCAAGAAAAGAGCGTATTCCTTTTTAACTCGTCGAGTACCGTCATTATAGACACAATTAAAAAACAATAGGTTGCGGTCACCGGTGTCCTTGCGGTGTTTGACAGTTTAAAAGGCCAGCAACGTACCTGTAATTCCTCTGGTGTTGCGGGTATCCATGGGCGGTGTTGATCGCTTATAAATATGTAATCAGAGCGCTCGCTTACCTCCTATTTCATAAAAAAATATTCTACGTGACCGAAGTTGCGGGCTACGGCTAATTTTGAATAAATCTCGTCAAAAGTATAGTTATATCTTAAACAATTTTCATAATATTACATTAACTCGTTGAGTACCGTCATTATAGACACAATTAAAGAACAATAGGTTGCGGACCGGTAACCTCGCGGTGTTTGACAGTTTAAGAAGATAATATAAACTCTGCCTGCCCCTTCGGTGAATAAAATTCAGTGTGATATATATCTGTGCCTCATTGTGCGTATGATGTAATACAAAACTATGATTTGCACCCCTGCCTACCCCTTTTCTGCATATGATGAATTTGTTTGTACTTGTAAAATATATAGGTCTGTATTATATTAGAAAATAAGAAATAATAATATTATCTAATTTATAAGTTTTCTACATTTTATTATTACTTAAAATTGAACTTTAAGTGCACTATGTTTAAGTTAAAATTTACTATAAACTGTAATGAACTGGTTTCCTCAACTATTGTAGTTGTTAAGGATCATATTTAAATGATAATAATGTTATAATTTTTACACAAACAGGAAAAAAAATAGTAAAATTAAATGTATAATTATATGAACTACTTTGCTATTAACAATTAGGAATTATTTTAGCAAAATAATGATAAGTGTGGGAGAGCCATGCTTCGGCATGAATGGGCCGGCTCGACCGGAGTGATACCACAGCCCAACAAAAAACCGACGTGAAGCAACGCTTGCGTTGTGTTTCGTCGTGTGAGTGAGGTTACCGCAGGCCCAATTACCCTCCCCTTCTCCTTCTCCAATCTCCCCAATCCCTAAATCCCTAATCCCTAACAGTCCTCAAATTCCTAATCCCCAAAAGGCTGGTAACGCACTTGTAACGCCTCTGGTGTTCCAGGTGTCCATGGGCGACGCCGATTGCTTACCATCAGGTGATCCGTCTGCTCGTTTACCGGCTTATGCCATAAAACATAAGATAATAAGTTACAAACGTATATTGCTAAAATTGTTCCTAGTTAAATCATTATATTGAGGGACCAACGATTTTACACGAGACTCGAGTCTCCATGGATTAAAAGGCGTGTCGTTATTTCATTTTTCAAGAGAAGAAAGAATACTGATTATCGCATTGTAGATTTTTTTGCAGTTACAACAAAGATATAGTCTAAACTTATTCTTAACTCGTCGAGTACCGTCATTATAGACACAATTATAGAACAATAGGTTGCGGTCACCGGTGACCGCTTGGTGTTTGTTTAACTCGTCGAGTACCGTCATTATAGACACAATTATAGAACAATAGGTTGCGGTCACCGGTGACCGCTTGGTGTTTGTTTAACTCGTCGAGTACCGGTTTTGTAGACACAATTATAGAACAATAGGTTGCGGTCACCGGTGACCGCTTGGTGTTTGACAGTTTAAAAAATCCAAAAGTAAAGTACTTGTTTCTCTTGCCACTATAAAATAATAAAAAAAATGCTCAATTATTTTTAAACTTAACTTTCGTGAGACATACTAAATTAATCATTATGTCTTCGGCTTACTCACGTAATAATTTGACGAGGAACTCGACTAGTTTCAAGCCATGCTAGAGGCTCATATTCATGAGCAGCATTCTGCGACCTGCGACGCGGCGACGTCGCTGCTACTGAATGAATATGAGCCTCCAGCATGGCTTGAAACTAGTCGAGTTCCTCGACAAACTGTTGCGTGAGTAATGAGAAAATATAGTTATTGTTAACTGTTATGTTGATATATAATATATTTTTTTAAATAACAGGGTATTATATTCATTTGATAATGTATTCAAATGTAGGGTCTATTTTTAAATGTATTAATGGCATCA